GACTGACAGTCACTGCTGAACAATGGTGAATTTCAAGGACACCTGCGTAAACGGGCCAGAAAATACACACGCCTCGAGGTGTAAGGCCCACCGAGCTCGAGTGCGCGTCGAGCCATCAGTGTGGCCTTGTCCGTACGCGATTGTTCAGTGTTCAAGGTCGTGAGCGTTCAATTTCGCGTCAGAGGCTGACTGAACTGTCGAGAAGTGCGAGCCGAAAACGTCTACGGTTCTAGGGTATAACTCTACTTTGGGTTCCAGATCAGCAAGCTAAAGCCCCATCCTTCTGTAATAGAGGACCGGGTTCAATAAAATATATACCGTATTTACAAGGGAAAGGAAATATAAATAAAAAAGGAAAGTTTACAAAAGTAGAAATAACAGGAATCATTATTTAAATGTCCTAACGTTTGTCGACAAAAAAGCGCGCGATTATCAAAATGTGCGATTACACAAATATTGGAAAATAACTAAATTAAAAAATAATTAACTAAACAACATACACTAAAGTAAGGTTAACTCACTTAACTAAAAAATAATCGCAAATAAAAATAGTAGACATAATAATGAACTGAAAACTGGACTTAGATATAAATAAGTTAAGTTAAATAAACGCAAAGTTGTTGCGCATGTAAATTGAAGGTGTGGGCTGCGCTTCACGCCGCGAACTATACTAATCTAACCCCGTGAAATATGAATCAAGTAATTCTCGGCTCACTCGATTGTCACTTCTTGCGAGAATTTCGGCCTCATCAAATTTTAATTTGTGGCCGGGTCTCGTCGTCGTTTGTTGATGGATTTGTGACCCGTGAACCATGACTCAAGTAATTGTCGGCTCACCTGATTCTCACCTCATGGTTCACGGCCCCTAATCCATCAACAAGTGCAACGATTTACCCAATCAATTTTCGGTGCTAAGACTAAATTTGGCCAAAGCATGTCGCCGTTAGGGGAACAGACCGGCCTCCACATCATCCTATGCCAACATCGCAGGGCCAGCTGGTCATTGCTGACGCAACGAATCAGTGCACACTCAATGCATTTATCGATGTTTTCTGTACGTTTAAATTTTACGTCAAAACCCTGTGCACACACCAACTGTTTCTGCTACTGTTCTGTGAGTACGTCTCCGATGATGAATCCGCGACGGATTTCAAAACGTCAGGCGAACAAACATATTGTCCCAGCGATCGAGTCATCTTCTACTTCTAAATTACTTCCTGGGACTCGCATGTTCGCTTGTATTAACGACCTACTAACCACCAATCTGGAATATTAAGAAACCTAATAAACTATTAAGTGGAAGTCAGTACAAAATGCCCAAATTTATCACCCAATAAATTATAAGAAACGTAAGTTAATTTCTGTATTTGTTTATGGTGCGCTATTTTGTTGTGAAAACATTAGATTACTTAAACAATTTGCGGGATTCCACCTGTGCGCGTGGTTGCACCCGCTAAGCAGCGTTCAAACGTGTGCGCTGACATTTTCACGTTTCGTCCCCTACCCACATGGGCGGGTGGACGGGCGCGGATTGAATGGCGTTTTTGTGAATTCGTGCCGTCGGAGAAACCGAAGGTGCGGCGGGATTTGGCCGGAGCGCGTTAAATAAATACTGGTGAGCATTGCAGAACAAAGGTGGATTTCAAGGACACCTGTGTGGGCGGACCAGACAGTCACCACGCGCCAGGGTATACAAAAGAGGTTGTAAAGCTCACTGTGCTCGAGTGTGCGTCGAGCCATCAGCACGGCCTTGACCATACGAAGCTGTTCGGTGTTCAAGGTCATGAGCATTTAATTTCGCATCAGAGGCCGAATCGTCGAGAACTGCAAGCCCCACAACGCCCACGCTTCTAGTTATGCCGTTCGGTTTGAGGCGTCGCACATGTGGTCATTTTGGGGAGAGAGTGGTCCCATTCTGGCACATGCGTTTGCTGCCTGCATGACAAGAACGACAACTTATCAATTCACCACCTTCAACCCCCTCCTGCCGGCCTGGGCAGAGTCTCAGGAGGTAAATGACAACATAACTCTATTCTTCTGAACTTTCGGCATCATGGTCGAACCCATTATCGGATCCGTATCTGACGATAGGTTCGAAAATGAAGCCGATACGCCAGGCCAACAAAGTTCTTGATAGAATCCTACTTTGGGTCCCAGATCAGCAGCAAAAGCCTCATCATTAGGTAATACAGGACCGGGTGCAATAAGGAGTATACAGTCTGGGGGGGGCAATAGTAGCTTATGTTGGCCCAGTTATTAATCCCTACTCCCTCTATGTTTTCCTACCAAAACGGTGGTTATACGGTTTTATGGGTGGGGAATTAGGACACGCAGTAAAATATACCTTCATAAATACTAAATGCATTTTTATTCTAGTGTACTTAGAAGTGTTGTTGATTTGCATCTGTAGATTCACCTAATCTGTATTATCGTTTAACTTATTGCGGAAAAACCCAATTATCAAATTTCTTCTTGAATTTCCCGAAAAATTGAAATGGTGGTTAGGAGGTCGTCTACTTCCTGAATTTCCCGAAAAATTGAAATGGTGGTTAGGAGGTCGCCTACTTTAACTTACAACATTTAACTTATTGCGGAAAAACCCGATTATCAAATTGCAGGTTTCTTGAATTTTCCGATAAATGGACATGGTGGTTAGGAGGTCGTATACTTCAACTTACCTGAGGCCCAACTTACCGTTCTGGAGTTAGATTCGAATAGTCCGCGGTGCGAAACGCCGCGCACACCTTCAATTTATATGCGTAACAACTTACTCCTAGCGAGAAGCAACTTCGACTAAAGTTTTTTCACTTTACATTTACTTCTAAAGATTTCCTCCTTTGCCTATCCTTTTTCTTGACCCCCAAAACTCTATAACCACCGTTTTTGCAGGACAAAATGATGGGATTAGGGTTATATGAGTGGGCCTACATAAGCTACTTTTGTCGTCTGGGGTAATACGAGGGAAGGGAAATAGAAATAAAAGATAAAGTTTAAAAATTACACAAAACAGGAATACTAAAATAATGTTTGTCAAAAAGTGCGTCGTAATGAAAATCTGCACGTATTAGGAACTAATTAGATTAAAACATAACTAACTAACTCCAACTAATTAAAAAACGCAAACCAAAGTTATCTTAGTTTCACTTAACCAAAAAATAAAATAGAAGTAGCAAACATAATAATGAACTTAAACATAAATACGTTAAGTAAACCAAATAAAATAAACTACCGTAAAGTTGTTGCGCATGTAAATTGACGGAGTGAGCGGCGCTTCGCGCCGCGAACTATATTAATCTAATTCCATAACGGTAATTTGGACCCCAGGCAGGTTGAAGTTGACGACCTCCTAACCGTCAAATTTTTTCAGGAATATCAAGAAAACCAACAAACAATAAAGTATAAATAAGAAAAATATATCCAAATTTGTCACACCAAATAAACTATAAGTAAGTAAGAAATGTTAGGAAATTTCTGTTTATTTATAGCGCGCTATTTCTTGCGAAAAAATTAGATTATTCAAACAATTTGCTTGACCCAAAGTAGGATTCCAGCGAGTTCTCGTCCAAGCGATCGTGTTTAATTCTCAGCACAGCGTCTGTCTATACGAGTCACCGTCTGTGTGAGGCGATTGCCCTCGCCCTCCCGTCTATCAGGATGCCCATGTGGTCGGGAAAGTTGGCTTAAAATTCTGATAAAACACCGTCAATTTTTTTTTCTATTTAACTGACTTTCCTCTAAATGGTTGACAGGAATCAGTTCCAGGGCCCTGAAAGACTGTGTTGCTTTCGTTAACTGTAAATGTACTTTTCCACTCCTATTAATGTTCTTCCTCACAGTCAACTTTCTGACATTTTTTCAAGGTCAAGGTGCTGAGTTTTTGACGTCGTTATCTCATATGTTTCATTCAGGTCCCTGCGCTTTTGCACGATTATCGAGCCCACGTCTGACACGGACAACGAAATCGCAGCAATTAATGACTGGAAACCGAACTGCCAAGCCATCACCGCACCAATTACGATCCCAAGCAGTAGGTACAGGAGCTGATATGCATGCGGATGACCGCAACGAACTAGAAATACCGCGCAATCTGCGCATGTCTCAGACCATTTTGAGATTACCTATGAGTAAGTATTCTCGACAGAATCCGCAATGTCAGGAAAATCAAATTCTTCTTCCAGGGATCGCATCTTATTCTGAACTGCCTTTGCCAGGAGTGCAGGCTGAAAAGAGGAAAATATGACTAAGCATCAAGCGTGGGAACGAACTACCCCACTATTATCAGTATCAGTATATTAAGGGATATGTAGGTAAAATTCCTTTGAGTTCCCTATTTGTACATATGTGTAGTGGTAGCAGAACAATTGTATCTCAGACTGTTGGCGAGGCCAGTTGTCCTGAGTCATGGGGTGGA